ATTCTGGTCGTTCCGGTATATATACGGCACTACTTTTTCAATATCGATAATCTCGTTGACCTGTTAAAGTCGCTTTGTCGTTCTAGTATATATATATATATATATATATATATATTCTGGTCGTTCCGGTATATATATTTTGGCCGTTCCCTAATTCTACTTGTACGTCAATTTTTTCTGATCATGTCAAAAAGAGTGGTCACGTGGTTGACCATTCTAGTACTATACGTTGTATCTCGTCACCTATCAGAATTCAGAACCAATAACTAAGTGGAAGTCTGGTGGGTTGGCTTTGCACTGTTGCATGGTACGATTCGATAGTAGTAACCAGCGAGGAGCAAGGAGTGAACTCGTCGTCGACCTTAAGCCAACTACCGTCAGGTCAGCCTGTTAAGGAGAAATCACGTGTCGGACACACTACACCAGGTACGTAGGGGATCATTTTTCTTTTTTTTCTCGTAAAAATACTTTTTTTCATCCCTTAGTCAGTTCTGTACTCTTGCCAGGAGATATACCTGCCCTCGTGTCTTAACACACTGGGACTCTGGCGAGCATGCTCGGTTACGCGTGGAATGAGAAAGAGAAATAATATCAAAGATAAAAGGACACAGCATGTGGTTTTCAAAATTTTCGACGCGTCTCTAAAGCTAATGGATATACCCATAAGTAATGTTTTTTGAATTGTTAAATCATTTGAAAAAAAATAAACGTTACTTATCGGTATTTCTAATGCTTTCAAAATTAACTCTGATTCTTCGTTGTATATGGCCTTCTTTACCGACTGTTTTTTCCATTCCGGACAAACTGCTAGCAGAATCTTATCCTCTTGTGCAATTTATAGTACAGTTATCTTTAGTAATTTATCTTTAGATAGTTCTGTTATTTATTATCATTGTTGTTGTTATTACTAATACTGCTCTTGTTACTAATCTACTTTAATCCAAATCATCTTCATGTCTCAATCCTTGATGTCGTAACTGGATCTGCCTTTCTCTCTTACGTTAATTACCTTTTGATTCGTTGGATCAAAGTATCTCTGATTTCCCATTAATTTTGTAGATCTTCGAAGATACTCCAGCGCTTGAATGACGCGTTGATGTAGTCGACTGCAGCTTGGCATTACCATATAAAACTCTTTATAACGAGGAACGCTTTCTTAGAGGACATATTGATATAAAATTAGCTGCGTAAGATCTCATACAGCATCCAAGCTTATGGATTGTACCAGATGGATGCTTAGACTTCACAAGGGTGACATTTGAGCACCGGGGTTTATGACACTGCGATGATGGCTCCGCACGATAAAGGAACTGCAGAAACAATTTGTCTATCGTCGATGTAAAAGTCGCCAGGAGTATCAGTTTCGTTAAGGGAAACGTTGCTTGCTCCATCCTAATGCCAGTAATTAGTGAGTTTTTGAAAAAGCCAAGGAGACTTGTGATTTTTGCATTCTGAAAGAGCCTGTATTCCATCGATGCAAAAGGTCCATGTACTCTTGTCTGAATCACAAATGGTGTCTAATTTGTTTTTTTTTTTCATTTCCTTAATAAATTGTTGCTTAAACAGCTTCCTCCTCGAACGACAGGATACTGAATCTTGTAGAAGGACCTTGTATATTCTAGTGGAAATAAATTCGTTATCTCGCTTAGAAGTGTTCTTGTATAGTTATTTCAACTTTGCGAAGAAAAATTTTTTTTAAAGACAAATCACTTATTCAGGTGTTGTATGGCTTTTAGTGTGCTTGTTATTATGAAGCTTATAGCTTTGAAATTTTAAGTTATGTAATTTTTTTACTATTTCTCTATCTGTATCTCTTTTTTTTACCATGTTGTTCCCCCGTCTCTGTCTCTCACTCTCATTCGAATTACTTTAATGAGCTTGCCGTGTTATCAGTGCTTCTGTATCTAAACTGTAACTCTTTCGCATAAAAATTTGTTTTCTCTTACTTTCTGTCTTACTGTCAGCTGAAGTCTCTATCTCTCTCTACTACCTATATACGTACGTATCTCTTACACTAGACATGAATTATCTACTTTTAACCGTCCATCCGTCTATCTTCTCTGATCTGTGTCTTCAAATCTGTCGTCCTTATCCCACTGGGTTACCAAGTCCTGCTTAGCTGCTAGTTATTATGCAAAAACTGTCTAAACGAGCCCGAGTACACACGACACTAACGAGCAAGACTAACCACCAAGTGCAGGTGTCCTTAAGATGACTTTGTAGTTACACTGTTAAGTCTTCCAGGACGATTCTTGCTGGTAAATAATATACATGATATACTCCAAGGATGACTCCTGGCTCTATCACTTTCAATGCTTCTCGTGAACTTTCTGATCTTGTCTCTCCGTATTCTTTTGAAGTCTCGCCAAGTCTGCCAGTTGACTATGGATAAGGCTGCTGCGTCGATTTTGTATTTCTGGAAGTAACGCAGTACCGTTTCAGAACGTGGTGTGGACAGGCTGAGCGACGACAGTTCGAGGAGAGCCGACAGTGACTCCCATCCGGAGAATTGGACCGATCACGAAGCTAATGATCCTCCGAACACCGTAGCTGGATCACCGCCGAAGTCTGAGCATCCCAGCAAGAGCGAGAATGCCGATAGGCGGAGTAGACTCTTCACCAGGGACAGAGGAACACCGGGAAGCAACAAGTCCAAGAAGCACAGCCTCTCTGTGGATCTAAAACCAGCTGCGGATTTAAATAGTTCTGAGGTAAGCGATTGAATGATCGAATGACAGTTGATTGATTGATCGGAAAGATGATGATACTCACTGGGGCACTTTATTCTAGCCGAGGAAGGCACTGGTCGAGCAGCTTGGTAGAGTCTTGCCGGATGACATTCTACCGGAGTCCGTTGCTCTTGTTTCACTGAGTGATCCTGGTGGCGCTGTCTTGGCTGCTAGACTTCAGGAACGGAATCATCGAGTCTTGACCACGGCTTCACCAGCCGACATACGTGCTACCTTTACCTGTCTCGTGGCTCGTATTCAAAAATTGTAAAAGATATTTTTTGGAGCTTACCTCATTGTACATTGTCTCTTTGATCGGTGTTATATGAAAATGTTACTTTTGTAGTTGCAACAGCTCAGCAAAACCACCAGCACCCATCAAGGTCGTCATCGCCGGCGGGGATGGTTTCGTCAATGCCGTACTGAGACACTACGTTGATCTGCTGAGCTTCAGACCACCTGACTGGCAAAATTATTTAAGGTTCCTGGTGGTACCGCTCGGATCTAATACATTGTCAAAATATCTGGGATCTCTGGATACAAAGTACTCCATGCTGTTTGGGGATGAATGGAAGGAATTGCTTGAGAGGGAAGCTGGTGGCGCCAGCGAAGGTGCTGCCAGAGTATCGGAATACTTGGCTTCGGCTGGTCCCACTCTGTCCTTACCCATAGCCGAAGCCATGGTCACCTATAGGTAATAGTAACCCCATAGAGTTTCACTGGGGGGTTGCTCTTGGAAGAGGAGTGTCTCAATGTATTTTTAATCATCAGGGAAACGGACGACAGTAGTCAAATATTCATCCCATTCGTCAACGACGTTCGGGTCGGCTGTCCGGATAGCAGTACCTCCGCTTCTGTCGATCTGGAGGAGAGTAGCATACTCATGTCAGGCTCTCCGCCATCTTTACCAACGCCAGGGCTTCCACTTCCGCCGCCCGGTAGACTGACACCTCCTAGCAGTCCCAATGTGGGTCAGCCTAGAGAAGGTTGGGAACCGGTCGAACTGCAACTTGATTACTGGAGCAAACCAGCCTTGGGCGAGAAGGGCAAAAGTACTCTAAGACAAGCTTTCAGGGCGTTACACGTTCAGAGATTACCTCCGTTGGGCGAAACTCCTGGACATCACTTGTCCATGACTTACACGACTAAGGAGAAGAAGCAGAAAAGTAATTGAATTTTTCTTTAATTATTCGAAAATCTTTCACCGACATTCATTATACGTCCTCGTCACAGTAATGAGGCTGGGCAAGAAGAAGGAGAAGGAAAAGGAAAACGAGCCAAAGAGTCAAACCGTAGATGGCGTGACGCGTCTCATATGCTCTGCAAAAACTCACAACATTCCATTAAGAGGTAAAACCAATAATATGTCTTATTTTATTAGCTTATGTAATTCTTTTGGATCCTCGTCCGTTCTTACTGGGGTTTTTTCTCTGATTACAGTGAGCATCGACGGAACCGAATGGTACGGCGTGAAATTCTTCCAACTATCGGCCCAATGGCAAACGCACATCAAAACGTTTCCAGTGGCCCTGTTGGTTTACAATTCCCAGCAGCAACCCCTAAACCTAACTTGAACTTCCTTTGCTTGCACATCGACTCGAATGTATTATCATTCATTCGCGTATCTGGTATTTATTATTATTTAGTACGTTTGACATACCGTTGCCACGTAGAGATAAGTGCACGCGAAACCAAGATAAAATTGGTGTAGTCCAAAAAGCTACAGGGGTTTTTTTATGATTGTTGAAATTTGTTGTTTTTGTTTTTCTTTTTTTTTTAAAAAAAAAGAATATTCCATACATTTACAAACGGAATGTATTATCTTTTAGGACAAGCATGATTCTTGAGAAAACTCAAACTATCAGTCATTTTAGCTATTCGTATCTGGGCTTGCTCTTGGTCGCGTTAACGAATAACTGATCGAATTTATTTTCTTTTCATACTCGTCTGACAAGTATATAATTTGTATAATGCTTTGTTTTTTTGCGAGTTAAAACAGACCCTATTTTACTGCTGTGCTGTATATATAAATACTTCTTATCAATACTTCACTTGACGATCCGTCAAGTGATTAAATGCTAACTGCGAGTAATCTTCTTATCGGCTTTACGATTCCTATTTATATATCGTTTAATGTCACTGGCACTTTATGCTAATTTAATCCGTGTGCAATATTACGAGTCAGCTTGAATTATTTCTGCAAAAGTCATCACGTGACCGTTAAGAATGATTGCTTGTTCGAACAATATACCATCGCTGCGTACATTAGCGCGACTACGCACACAGTAACGATGTCTCTTCCAAAATCATTCAAAATTTTATCATTTTTTTTGGCTCATTGTCACTGTTTTATCTTAAGTACCGCAATAAGACGAAGTTTCAATTTATACCGGAACAGTGCGATTCTCTCTCTTGTTATATCCATCAATACTCGCATAATTTCTAGCGTCTCGCTCTTACTGTTGCGACATTCTATAGGCTGAGTCGTGTCGCGTGAGAGAAATGCTCATAGTGCGAGTGCTGAGGGGTTAAGAAATGTTTTTTTTTGGGGAAACAGGGGGAACGATATGTTCATCTAAAGAAAAAGCGTAACAGATGAAAAGTCATTAAAACTTCATTTTATTTTTATTATCTTCACTAGGGAAGATACACGTAAATATTTAAGTGGTTAGGAAAAGAAGTAGGCTATCCTTATGTTATAGGAAAAATGACGACTGTTTACTAAAGGGACGACGGGGGACAAAGTAGAGTTGCCTTTAAAAAGGCATTAAATTTGATTGAGCATTGATTAATGACTTTTTGCTGTTACCTTCATCATATTTTAACAAAGACTGCCGCTCCTTTGATCGTTATTTGATATCGTTTGAATTTCTTCATTTGGCATATTTTTTTGGTCATTCATCCATAAATTGGCATCCATTGTTCCAAAGCTGTCAAATATCGCTTGTAATGAGATATTTCCGTCATTGTCCTCCCCACGTAACGGGTTTATGTGCGTTTTTACTAGGATGACCCAAAACACTAGTTTAGTTTGTAATGTAAATTTTGACTTCCTCCACTTTTGGATTTTTAGCGTTCCGACGTAACGGATTTACGTGGATTCGTTACGTCACACGTGACGTAGCTGTCGCGGCTGACTGCTTAATGCCAAATTCAGAAGAGAGCCTGTTTCGTTTTATCCAAAAATTTTGTTGATTAAAGATTTCTATTCAGAGACGGGCGTCCCTTTCATTGATATAACGAAAGACTATAGCCATTTTATTATTTGAATTGTCGTTCAAGTATGATAAAAGACGCGTACAGTTTCCTCATTTTTTTTAGTTTATTCTTGTTGATTTACTAGTCTCTACTTATTTTCATGGTAATGATCAATGGTGCTGTATGCATAGTCCATTATTTTTTACATTTTCTATATTTGTATCTACGCAGAAAGGCCAAAGAAATTGAGAACAAATGTCTGAAATTGAAATCAGTGAACTTTTTCTATGATTAACTAATAGTTTGACCTTGCGAGACATTCGACTGTTCTACATCAATCAAGAACTCATGATATTCAGAGAGACAAAGTTTTCTTAATATCATTGCTTACGTCAGTACTATTATATTTTCCAGCTACTGAATATAATGGCATTCTTCCATCATAAAAATACTCCATTACCATTCTACGTAGAAAGATTACAATTTTTCTTGACTTACTTTCCTTCGGCTGGTTTACCTGAAACTTTGATACTTGTGAGGTTGCCATTGTTGAGCCAATTATTATGTAACACATTTCTTTTTAAATGTACGCTTTCCTCTACCTCTTCATTCTTCTCTCCTTAATGATTCATTAACGACTGATACGTTCAACGTGAACTTGCAATACCAATGTCAGAAACAATTTTGCCAGTAATCAGTATTTCTCGAAAGGAGAATTAGTTGGAAGCCCATTTTCCTTGTTCCACTATAACATTTAATTAAGCGTAATATTAATTTCACCAGTCGTTCCTCCGTTGTGCTAATCTTTGAGTCGCAATAATTAATAGTTGCCACGTTCTCTCGTTATAAATTCAGCCACTAGCGACTTGTCGTCTGACCACAAAACAGACGTTAACCCAAGTTGATGGCGCATTGTCAAGTTGATGGCGGTTGTCAACTAAGACGCCCCAAAAACAATGCTCATCAAACCGCGCGACATTTCTCGAGTTAAAAGAAAAACTGTTGAACACATTGCGAATATCTCAGTGAACTTCTAACCTTTTCGCATTCTTTATAACATCGCGTGCATATTCGTCCTTAAAAACGAAGCTTCGGCTGTCGCGGCGATGGCAGTTAAATCCTCTTGCTATCTTTCAAACTCGTAATCGCCCGTATCAACTGTTTCTGTCTGCGCCAATTTCAAAACTGTGACTAGAGAAAAATAATGAGCTGTGTAAAAAACTCACGAAGATGGACTTCGAACAATCTAGTCAGGATATAATACGGAATGAGATATACAGAAAGCTTCCTTAAGATGCTCCTTTTCGTTGCTGAAGGAAAACACTGGTAAAGATGAATAATCTGTTTTGATGATATTTCTTGTCTTTGACTTCTGTCTTATCTGTCAATCGTTGGATAATGCGTACCGAGAGCATTGACTCGAGGAGAGACGACGGATTTTATTCCAATAAATAAAACAGAAAACAAGAATGAAGTTAAAAAACGGAATGGTCACGTTAACGAGATACGCACAGCAATTTTATTATTGCCCGCGAATTTTGCCCATTTTTGAATTCCAGCTCTACATTGCTGTTGGCTATTGGCACGTTTTTATTCCTATTTATATATATATATATATATAAATATATAAATCGTCTGTAGGCGATTATTGAGGAAATTCGCGAGGCGTTTTTCTAATGTACAGTAAGTTTTATTCGATGGGGGCTCAGAAGAAAAATACAGCCCAAGCTCAAGGCTTACAATAATTAAAAGGCGTTAATGAATAAATATAAAAGGACGGCAGATATTTTGAGGCGAGTCTTTTGAACGCAAGAAAAGGAAGGAGTGGAGGAAGCGAGGTTAAGGGTAAAAATGAATTTAAAAAAGGGCATAGTTGAACGGACATGAGGAATTAATAGACGGTATTTGATTGTTTGATAGAACTTACAATTAGACGTCTTTATTCTGCTTTGTAAAGGGATGTCTATTCTGTGAGTGTAAATATACAATTATTATAATGTATTATCAATGAAATTAGAGAGTTCAATTAAAAAGGCTGTGAGTGCTAATTACTCGACTGCAAAGATGTGCTTGCACTCGATTAAAATGGCTCAAACGGAATAATTTTTTCCGACCATTCTTTACCTGTTTCTCTTAATTGTACGTTTACGTAAGATCTATCTCGCGTATCACCTCCTCCTTCATATTATACATCCTCGTGAATGTTTCCCTATTTTTTTCTTTTTCCTTTACTAAATTATCTTACGCACAACAATATACGATTCCATCCTAAATTCTGTCTGCCGTACGGAGAGAATTTTTATTTAACAGCCACTACGACTTTCACATATCTTGAAATAATGAATTATTAGGACACGGTGATAAGGGTTGATAAAAAATGTTGACGCTTCATGTAAAGAGGAAAGTGAAAATTTTAAGATAAATAAAGAGAGAAAGAGAGGCAAAAGAGTAGATTGTAAAAATGATTGGAAATTTTTAAAGTTCGATCCAAAAGAAAAAAATAATTCTTAAAGATGAAATAGGAAAATTGTGGATTCGAGCGTGTTGAACTAAATAGAGGGAAAAGCCTTTTCTAATTGAACGCCCGAATTGTTGATATAATAAATATTAAATACCTATATGTGATATATACTATTAAACGTAATATTCGGATATATAGGATATTATTGTTATTATTCAGTAGACTAAAAAGTTGTCTTGTGCCCTGGACTCAATGAAGTTCTCGATCCCAATCGAATTAATCTGTAAATAAATATTGTAAAATGCGAAAGAAAATGGCGGTATCTGTTAACGATTTAAAAAGTTTTAAAAAAGTGAACGCCATCGTCTGTAATGGATATTTTTTTTTCTGTGTAAGAATCATCGTTGTTTCTAATATTCTGTGACTCATATAAACGAGATATATTTTAATGATTCTCTCCTATCTCTCTTTCTCTATTGATGTTCTGTCTTTGTCAGTGACTATTGGTTTATTTCACCAGAAATGTTTGTTACTCGTGAATATCTGTTAAGGACACAGCGAAAAACCACGAAACGTAACGCGATGAGTTTTTTGGTCCGATCGACATGCAGATCGAAGCTCAGGGCACAAGCAGACGCAATTGAGTAATAATTAGAGGTTAGAAAAAAAATGAAGAAGTGGGAGATTTAAAAAATCTGTAACCGTACGACTTAGACGAAGTAAGCAACAATAAGTAAACGGCTAAGGATAAAAAAATGATAAAACGAAATATGTTGTTGATGTTTGTAAGCTTGAAATATAAATGTAACGCATTTTTTTCAGTATTTCGTTACAAGACCCATCGTTGTTTTTTTAACGTAATCCTTCATTCCATATATATACATATATGCCTGACAACATTTTAATATGACAGTGTTCCATGCGAATTGTGCTAATTTGAATAATTATTTGTATACGCATTTTAAAAGATTTGTAGTTTAGGAAGACACAATAGGATTATAGTAGTGCTTGATTGGCAAAAAATAGTTGAGTATTTTTTAAATAATATTTAACTGTGAACAATTCTGTATGGTTTTCAATGGATATTTTTTATTGACTGCCAGTCGCAGTCTATAGTTTCTATTGACAATAAAAAAATGTCGATTTACAGTCATTGTGAGCAAGCAATAGCTGAGGAAGAAGCTAGTTAAGGTTATCTAAATGAATCACTGAGAAAAATTTGAACTTGTAGACTATAATTTTGTCATCTACATATATCATTAGAAATGAATATGACGCTTCTTACGGCACTTGGGTACAGTTTATTTCCACGTCTTTTAATTTTATTTGGTTAAAGCCATTCGATCGATCTACAAATTGATAACATAAATTAAATACCTAACGTGTATATATATATTTTTCCTTTTCTCTTTGATCTGTAGCTTTCACACGGAATGCATTCCTGATGCATAATTAAAAGGATTCGCGTTTGCCTAAGACATTTGTTTTCTTCAATAATGCATCAATGAAAGCTCCTACAGTGATTGTAATAAATGGAGAAACAAATTAATTTTAAAAAAAGTCTCCACTAGAATTCATGAAATTAGATACAGTACGCATTGCTTTCAAAACCAACTTGATTCTATATAATTGCACAGTTTTTTTTCCTTTTTCAATTCTCTAGACGCCATTACCTCAACAGGAGATGAATAAGGTTACGTCACTATTAATTAAACGATAATTACATTTCTTTGAGACGCGATGCGGTCGTAGCTCCTGTCGCTCGTATTAAAAACCCATATAAATGAATTAAATTAATTGTATGGCACCTATATATAAAGCCCGCCACATCCTCATCTTTACACGATCCTCGATAATTTTATATATAAATTATCAGGGCTCGTTTTTAAAGCAATACAATTGTGGCTGGTATTACGTGTAACAATTGATATTGTCTTATCTACGCGCTTGTTAGAGGAGAAATGGGGGGAGTGGCGGCGGAAGGGAGCGGACATATCAATTCAACTTCGATCCACTTGATTTAGTCAAATTATCAATTAAAACGTGCATTGTTCTCGCGTTCAATTTTTGATATGTAATGCCGGCATGAAAGAAAAACGACATTATGACTGAAAACCTACCGCATCTCGCTTAATCAATATACAATAGACAAGTCCTTATTAAGTTGTTGCCTTTTAATTCAGCTAACGGATCTTGTTCGTTATTACTCTTACAATGAATTTTCTTAATTCCCGTCTCTCCACAATTGTTGATAGTTTTTAGTTACTCCTAGCTAATACATTTAAATATTTACTTATATATATATTTATATATACGGTTGTGTATGAGTAATACAACCACGTACGGCTGTCAGGATGATTTATGAATATTCACTGTCCGTCGTACGTATTTATATTCATGCTGCATTAGTTATCGCATCACAGTGAGAGTATGAAGTATAACGATCATCGTGTACGTCATCGTCGGGACGCCCGTGCATATTGTTCATACGAGAGAAAAATTAAGTGGAACACAAAAGAAAAGGAATCGTCATTTATACAATATACGGCTGATGGCACTTGCTCCTTGTTATAATATTAGTCTTGACCCGAATCTTAAGTCGTGAGCGAGCGGCAGCGGGAACAAAGGTCAAAGGGTTTGTACAAAGTAGGTAATCGTACAACGAGACGGCTAATTCAACGACTCGAATAGCGTCGAGGTTGGGATATCCGGTTTTCGTTTACTATGTAATTAGTAATAACCGCAATATCTTTGTGCTTCGATATTGCCTGGATCTTAATTACCTTTGGTCCAACGTCATCGTTCAACCCCTTCGTATTTAAATTTTCATCGCGCATCGCCTCTTCAATTCAGACTTTCACTGTGATATAAAATTACCCACGTGTATGTATATATTCAGGGAATATATACACACATTTAGGATTTTATATATAAGGGTGGAGAGCGAGCGCCCTGCCACGAAGACCTCTTTGCCCACCGACACCCCCTTTTGGTATAACGTAACCGCCGGCATGTCTTGCTGTTCCTTCTTCCTCCAGGTTACCGTTACTCTCGATCAGATCGCGCAATGGCCAGCAGGCCAAGTGTCGTGATTTCCCTTGTCGCGCTAATACATGATAGCCTTGCCTGTAAGGAGTAGCAAAGTGTTACCTGCACCAGGGTGACTGTGGGAAATGACGGGCTAATTTCTTTAGGAGACGTCTGTGATTAGCATCTGATTGGACACTGACGTACCTAGAAGAAATCAGGCCCACGAGTAATGCCCAGTGGGCCTTGTGACCCCTTTTTAAACACGGAGCGTGATTGAAGTCGGAATCGTAAGGGATGAGGACCATGGCACCGTGAGCCAGAGCATGAGTTAAGGAGTCCGGGCAGGTTTGGAGGTCCACCAAGATGTCGGGTCTGTGATCTGGTAGATATTCTGCGGCCAGGGTACCCATGAAGTCCACACTGTATACCTCTCCGTGCTGTGTGAATCCGCGCACCCTGGCCTCTGCTAATAATTGGCTCACCGATACTGGCTTTGTGTATTCCTGTGATGCCATTGCCAGTGCCACCAAGCCACACCTGTCGATTAATTATTATTTGTGAAGAAAGATTGGAGTGATAGTGATCATGGTTGTGGTATTGATTAACTAGATATTGAAGGGACATACTGAGGTCCATCTTGTAGGATTGGTTCTACTTGGCAGAAATAGGTGACTTCTGCATCCTTCAGTTCATTTCTAGCGATCAGTTTCTCTATCTCAGCCTCTGCAGATGTGAGAGTTATCTTTGCCCAGGGTGGAAGAGTATCGCCATCATTGACTTCTGTCTTCTCACAGGTCGGCGCCTCTGGCAGACTTGGTGGTGGTGGTGGTGCTGGCATTTCTTTGGAAGAGGTTTCAATTCCAACAAGACAGTTCCTCTGACGGATGCAGAGCCCGTGAGACACTTCCAAAATTGGGATGACAAATCAGCAAGACTAGCCTGTTTCATAAATCAACTGACTAATTTAAAAAATGTTACCTGATTAAATTTCTATCGTTCTACAATTTCTTACTCTTTATTTACAAGAAATACTCATAATGTCCTTGGAACTTTTACAAAAACAAGAGCCATTCGGAGCACTGAAAAATCAGCTACAAAATCTTGCGACTACTGTAAAACTTACAAATAATTGCATTGTACTCTCTAACGGTCAGACTATCCCTTATTCCGGAGAAAGACAAAGCTATTTAATAATCAGAAAAGCTTTCTAATTAATTAAATAAATAATCCTTGAAGATGCACAGTAAGTACCAGTAATGTCAAAGCTACAAAATATTACATTACTAATTACTATTGTTACATGACCATTCACACAAGCCTTAAAGCCCAGTCATACCCTTCTCTCCAGATTCCTAATGGCAGCACATTTCACGTTCGAGACAAGGTGTCTAGTCTCATCCGTATAATACAGAAATGGTCAGCGGTCTCCAAAGGATTCTTCTGAAGATCCGTAAAGATTCTTTGAAGTACCGAACGTTCGTGCGTCGTCGGTTAAAAGAGATAATACGCGACAGCGATGACTCAAGGATCCCTTTGACGTTTGAGCACGTCCAACGTTCCTGATCCTTATACACACTGCGCGAGACGTCGAACCGTCCCGTCCATACAAAAAATTATATAATTTCGAATCAATCAGTATTACGGCACCGCCGATTATATGGCTCGTATAGCATGGTGCTCTATTGATATACGCAATCACCCTGGACCACGGAACTTATTCCATTGTCCATGGGAGGTCCCCGATGACTCTCGTTTTAACGTCACGATTATACGAAACGCCTTAACTGCAGACGTCTGCTAAGGTACAGTCATCGGCAGAATGTTCATCGCAGCAGTTGTTCGGTCACCACTACCTCTCGCACTGCCATCACAGTCAGTGAACGAAGATCACGCGAAGATCGTTCAACAACCAAACGTTTTACCGTCCTGGATTCTCAAAAGGCGTTTCCCTATCCAGAACCATGGTAAAGCCAATCCATGGCAAACAACTTCCGAGCCCTCCCTGTTTTATTGGCTGCCGAATCAATTCATTTTAAGCTCCCCGGATACACAAAGACATCAGCCAAGCTAGGATCATGGATTTTATTTTTAGTTTTGTTTTCGTCTATGAAGAAAAGACGTCCCAAGAACTATACTATCCAACCTCACCCTCGAAAGTCACTAAAATCTTTCAATAGGAACGTCAAAATGGTAAAACATTGTCATACCCCATCCCTGCAGAATGACAATTTCTATACATGCTGGTATAAGAGGTTGCCAGGAAATGCATTAAAGCCAGTATGCATCGGTCGAAGAATCGAATAGACAGGTACGACTAATTGTTTTAAAAATCCTACAGAAACCTTCAGATATTATACTTGATTGTATTATCTTGTATATTTGACAATAAAGTATATGCATACGAAACAGCATCTAGACTAAATAAAATTATTATTTTCAGTCTTGCAAGCGCACACGAGATAAAAGCTGTCATTAATATCGTATAAGTAAAAAATTATATCACCGGATGCAGACACCAAGTAAAACCTAGTACCAGATTTCGCATCATCAAACGTTCATCACTTCATCCCTGTGCCAATCAACGCATACTGATCTCTACGTATCCCATGCTGGTTCATGATGACGATACCCCACCGTACTACGTTCAACACGGCACAGGAAACAGGGCCGTACTCGGCTCATGTGGCACAAGATCACATAAGGCCCAACTGAAAAGAAGTTAGTGGTGGGACCAGTGCAAAGAAGTGATTACGCATGCGTCGCAGCTGTCGCGCGGGCTACGGGCTCCTTCCATCTCTCGTTCGTCTTCGCGCTCCTGAAACGCAGTTTCCGCGAATCGGTGCTCCAGGAAATAAGTGTGCTGTGATGTTGAGTGTTGAGTTAAGAGTTCACCCGGGGTTACGTATGGGTACATGAAAAAGTGAAGAAGGTGAGAGAGAGAGGACAATATTAGCTCATTTATTTACTCAACACTTACGATTGACTCGCTAGGTGTTACAGCTGCAATTGCTGGACACCTGCGATGCCTTTTACTCTTACTGAACACTCAGTTACAGTTGTTTCCCTTTGTTAAGCTATCAGTCACATGAAATTCAATTAACTACTCATATCTCATTGATATTTCATTATCAAAACAAATTTTTCCAATTAAATTTCCTAGCATCAACATCATTCAAGAATGTATTTTCTCTAGCGTCATTCTTTTTTTTTCAACAATTTTTGCTATTTTGTATCAACCTCAAGTGTCGCACGTTCGTCTCTGGAATTTCATTTCACAGAGTTTTGAAACGGTTATAATTGATTCGTTCCTTGTTAGTTTCTATTCATCCCATTCATATCGCGAAATCTTTTCTCTCGAGCCAATAGAACAGCTACTGTCTTTCTATTGAGTAGGAAACACGTTCGAATCAGCATAAGCACACGAATCCTTTGAACTATTTCGTTGTACCAAACAAGGATCGCAGCGTTAATGCATGTTTTATTAAATGGACGAATATAAACGGAATAAAGGTATGAACGAGAATGAAAGAAAAAAAAAACAAACGTTCTCCGATTGTCAGCACCGGTTTGACGGGGCCATGACCACGTTGCGACAAGGTAACCAGCAAGGCAGCAAACCGCAGTGATGCAAAATGATTCATAATAACAGCGACTGACCTCACACAGTTTTGCACAAGCCGCAAATAATTTCGCGAGCAGAAATAGAAACGCGATAAAGATATGAAAGAAAAAAAAGAAATTTGCAGAATGAGCAGAGAGAAATTTTATTAAAAATTCTTTCCTCTTACATATACACACATATATGGCTACGTGATTCGTAATTCTACTAATTAATTCAATGTCTTCACTTTCACCGTTAATCAGTACCGCGTGGCGAACCTTTCCGAACGAACGCTTGGACGTTACAAAATAATCGTGTGCAACCCAAGAGACACGTGGGACGACCTGTTGCAGTGTAGCAGTATGCCGGCTTGATCGGTCCATCGGATGCTGCACCCGCTGCGTGACTGATCTGCCTCAATTATTTGATCATCTCGTACAGACCTAAACGACAGTATAGATATATTAAATGATTGTTATATAGACTGTGAGAAAGTTTGCGCTGATCTCGGATTGCGAATTAAATGGTTACAGGTCGAGGTCTCTTTCTCTGTATATGGAAATCGTAGGAATTATTTCGAGGTTCTCTTTGATTGGTTTGCCAAAGTGGATTCATTGCGGAGATATACGAACTCAGTGAGCGAAGGCTTTTTTTTCATTGGCATATCAATTGAGAATGTCCTATGGTTAACTCAAATACAGAATTCAGACTCTATTGGTATATTTCCCTTGATACGTTAATTATGGTCATGCCGTTCTTTAACGAGGTCCCAACTCCCAGCATTCTGAATGTCGCTTCTTGCAGGATAACATTGTCGACAGTCGAAATCTATTTCATTTAGAACTTACAGAACCCAGAATCGATTGGTATATAGTGTAGTGGGATAGAGAGGGAGAGAGTTTGTGAGAGTGCGAGAGAGAGTGAAAAAGAGAGTGGCGAAGTAACTGAGAGAGAGAGACAGAGAGAGAGGACAAGCGAGGTCAACAAGGTGCCCGATATGGTATCCTACGTCGACTGTGAATACCGCTTTATATACCTGCTGCCTACGATTAGCAACCGTCATGGCTAAACCTTCAATTGCAATTTCGTTTTGCATATTAATCACGTATCCTTTGATAGGAATCCTTAATTTCATTAGAAAGAATTTAAAAAATTATGTTTTCTTTGGCCATTCAAAAATCTGTTATTTATTAAATTATATCTAAAAAAAAATGTCTACTTACATTTTTAACCTACGGCATATGCTGTTCATTATTAATTATCTATAAAAATTGCATCTTGCGTTCTTTGTATAAATATTTGTTTTATTCGACGTCCAAATAAAATTCGTCAAGTTTGATACGATAATTTTATAAGTGCAAACAAACATTCTGTCTCCTATCGAAAAAGCAGGCTATAACACGAAGATGCAAAGATGCAAGAGCGCGTAAGAGGACGAGTCGTCTGTCGATCTTTCTGTATGGGATCCTTAATATCCGACATTCTATTTTTAAGCGTGACTCGTGGTATGTGCGTGCTGTGACGCAATCCTATGGTCTCCCGCTCTTTCTCTACCAAGAGAGTTTACCTTCTACAGCTATCATCCCGTAGCCTCTGACTCTTCCTTTCCTTTATACACTTCAACGCTCACTGATATTATAAACACTCTTTGTCACTGTTGTCCGACGACTCGGCTTCTTTGAAAAACCGTCATTGTGTCTTCGTCTATACCAAACATGGATATAACGTAACATTAAATCCTTGTCCAGCCGTATGGTGCATAGTTACATGTAATATATATATATATATATATATAAAAAGCCGCGCGATTCTACGACCTAGACCTCACTGCAAAACTCGACTCACTCCATTTCTCGTTATGAATCATAAACCTTTTCCACATTTAGTATTTATCCGTACGAGTATTTAATATTTCTGATCTCCCACTTTTATCTTTTTAGTTTATTCACTTCAGTTATACGTATACAGGATAGTCGACAGTATCAAGAGTACGGTGTTAATTATTTTTGTGAAGCGGAAGAAAAACGTTAAGGGAATAAATAAAAAGGAAAACTAGGTACGTTTGTAATTTCAGTAGTTATGACATGCCGATTGCATATGGCTGCCTTCTCTTCTCGTTCACCTCGAACGCAGCTCTTATGCTTCTTCGATCGATTTGATTCTCGAACATTTTACAATATCATGTGTCGATCCTGAATGGATATACATATAGTCGATTAAGTTTACAGCGGTCTCCGATAGGTTACTGAATGGGGTTCGTTGTGCAGTGCGTGTCTAGCGCTATTTAATTATGACGTTACTTATGTTTTATTTTATTTGAATTTTATTGGCGCGCGGCAAACGGCCATGTCGCATGGTCGCGTGGGCGACTGTGTTCAGGGCTGAGAAAAACCGTAGCAAGATTTTCGATTGTCAGTGCTTTTCGTTGATTCAACACACACGTTATCTTTGACAATAAAGCATCGGCATTGCTAAGTCTTGCTAAGTGAATAGTATTCATAAATAATTCCATCGTTCTAACCTCTCTTTAATAGTGCCATTTCTTTACAGACTGGGAGGTTAGTCGTCTCACAAATGCAGTCAAAATGGATTCCAACGTTGGTCTTGATTATATTGTGGATAATCCAGATTACTGTATCAAATTAGCGTCGGGTAAGTCAATAATTTTCAAAAGCTTTGACATTAACACCGGGAATTGTGGCGCGAATTCATTCTCCGTTTGAAAAGCATCGAGTTGGGTTGTCTCAAAAATTTCACGCTGCTCCTACTGAGCTAATTACTATTATATTAATTTTTCATACTATTCATCGTGCATTTCTCTATTTACTTTCAGCCCTGGACACTGCTTGCTCTTCCGTTAAGAAACAAGTAGTTGAACTACTGTCAGCTTTATGCGTCTACAGTCAAGATGGCCGACAACGCACTATCGATACTCTGCATATATATCAGGTTATATTTACTTTATTAGTCTATACTTACCGCTGTGTCCTTTATTCATACTATATTCGACTTCGTACAAGTATTTATATTACATTAGAAATAATTGTACTACTCGGAACAAAGAATAGACGTATCTTTGTTTGAGCTATAATTGCCAAGACGTCACTTCCCTCAAGGTAACCATAAAGGAAAGAACGTTGCGTATTCTTACTCGAATGCACTTGGCTGCATTTAAAGGCTGTGGCACGATGACGTAATATCATTATAAGGGAAAGAGAGAATTACGAATGATCCCTCCTCGTACCGTATGCTTCTCTTTTCCACGATTGAGATATAATTCTAATGGGTAATGAATGTCTTTTCTGTGAAAAAAGTCTCAGCCAATAAAATCTGCCAGATTGCACGTGCTCATGACGTAAATCATTGACATAAATTTTTGATCAGAGGCAGTACTGTTCCATAAGACGTATTTATTAATGGACAAAAATGACTCTGTTAATGGCTTGAGTGCAATGAATAATATTTAATGACACATTGATGTTACTAGGAACGTAAAGGAGAACGTTATCGGCTACGAGTCGTGGTCGATGAGCTGCAGAAAGCAACTGCCGAGGATTATCAGACTGCTTTGCTGGCATTCATCAACTGTCTGGTGATTTCTACACCCATCCTCAAGGACCGGGTTAGAATTCGCAATGAGTTCATCGGTACGTTTCTTCATTGCTATGCGTTTTTTTTAATATTCCTATCGTGTATTTTTATTCGTGGTAACCGCTGGCAGCGTTGCGATACCTTATCGTTATAGTCACTAAAGATGATTTCGTTGTTGATATTATCGTAGAATAAAATTTTAATTAATAATTTCATTTTACTTTCAGGTCTCAAGCTTCTACCGATACTGAACGAGCTACGGTGAGTACCTGAACCATCGAGGGTCGTGACCATTAACTTATTAACATTTTTTAACATTGTTAAATAATAAATGATAATCAATGAATAGCAGGATGCTTTATTGTACCCACCTATTGTATGACGTACGGAGGAGCACGTGCTAAGGATTCTTATTGATATGATATTGAGGAGAAGTATTGTCTGGAGATAAATTGCCATCGTCATCTTGTAATGTTATTCTGAATATCTTTCTCTAACGCATGCACTAATTCTCTATAATAATTTTTCTTAACCACTCATCATAATTATTGTTTTCTTAATTAATTAGCTGAGACAGTGCAGAGGCCTGCGCGAATACAGATTATCATCTGGATAATGAAACAATAAAATGATACGTCGATTTAAAATCAGCAAGTCATTTTAATGATGGGACTCTAAGGCAGTGGAATTAACTTCCCACAGAAGATGACTAATCGCCCGATCGAAAGGCTACTTGATTCTCAGTAGGGAGATCATGCTTGAAACGGTGAGCGGGATGGTGAAAAGAAACCATAAGGAAAGATGGCGGCAAGCAAGCATTGCCGACGCCACTGGTCGAGAAATAGAACCGAATACATGTCTCGTTCTCTCTCCACATTCTTAGTAACGTTAATTCCACGTGAAAGAGAGAAAGGGATAGAAGCTGAACGGAGAAGGTGAAGAAGGAAGAGCGAAGAGAGCGAGAGAAAAGAAAGGACAGCAAGATGCTCGCCGGAGGGAGAGAGAAAAGACCGAATTAACTTCGTTGCAGGCTCTTGGCTAGGGGTGCACGTTGCATCTGCATCTCTGCATCTGCACTGTGCTGGAACCAGCAGCCCCAGTTACTTCCTAGACTTCAGTCTGCTTCGTTCGATCGCGCGACTCTCTTTTATATTTACTCACTATAGGCGTTTCACGTTGCTACTTATTTTTTTGTTCTTTACGACATTTGTACTTTCAGTATCTCTACCCCATTAGGTAGTCGAGGTAGAACAATTATTAATTGTCTTATAAAAAAACTCTTAGTGCGTGAACTCATTGCTGAGTCATCTGGTATCTTTGTCTCTTGAATTATTCTAAAATTTTCTTGTATTTTTACTGTAGTGCAATAACGATCATGCTTCGAATATCTATCTCACTTTGGAAAAGCGTTACTCGTGTCTATGATGCCGGTGTCGATAATGGAACAGGTTTTTGGGTACACACGTGGGGAAAGAGAACGTTTCATTCTCTATTTTTTTAAAAGTATTTTAAAACTAAGAATAAGTCTTGACTGTAAATTTAAAGAAGTAATTGATCTACTAAAGAGTTGATTTTACAAATTTATTTTTAGTAATAAAATTTGATAAATAATAGTTCTTGGATATGATGCGTATCGTTATAGTACAATTATTTTATTGAAAGTTAATATATGTATCGTTGCTACAATCTTCAGTATGTTGAGACTATAATCACTGCATTAGCAGGTAAAATATCGGATTAACGGTGCTATATGCTTTCAATGGGCGGAGCGTCCTTAGTTAACTGTGTTCATCCGGCATTTATTAATGAGAAAGTGTCAGTGACGGTTCGTTCGTACTTCCGTGCAGTGCAATTATGAAATTAGCTTACGAGTCATCGATCCCAGATCGCAATGCAAAAGAAACTGGTATCCGAGTACCTGAGTCGTACTCGCCGGAAGTACAGTCAGGAGGACCGGAAGTGGTACCAGTTGGGAATAGAAAGAAAGGGAGAGCAGCTGAGATTCACGAAGCTTGCGAGAATTCAAAGTGTAAATTGTTATACTTACAGAAAAGAAAAGAGTCACGTGCCGGACTTGCGGGTGCAGCTGGATGTTTTCGATGATCAAAGAGAGTCGGATGAAGAATTATCAAACCACGGTCCACCAGGAATTGATCTTTCGTCTCACGTGGACGTCTTCTACGCCATCCTTGGTCAGGTACCACCGAAGTCTCCCTCTTCTTTAAAAACAGACACCGGAAGTCCCAAAGATCTGTTAGCTACTTGTCTGATTAAATTTATTTTACAGATTGCAGACACTCCTCAGGAAATACCCTTTCTAAGTATTCTCCAGCATCTCTTGAGATTGGATCCTAAGGAGGCTGCAAGTGATCTGGCTTGGGACACTGCAGAGACCCTCGTTCATCGTGCTACACTGTTAGAGAGTCGTGAGGACGCTACCAAATTACTGAGGTCACCCAGTCTTCAGGTACCAATAGAATTATTGTATATATCCTACAATACACATATTCAGGTCAATCGTTTATCTAACGCTCAGTTCACTTCTCTTCGTTAAGTCTGTAACCTGAAAGTCAACTGCTGGGAATTGCTGTTAAACGACAAAAGCCATTTTATTCATTAACATTATTAGTTCCAAGATTATCCTAGTCTACGACCTCATGCATATTCATTGAAATCATTAAAAATAGGACTGATCATCACTATAATAAAATATTATGCTTGGTCCTGGTGCAGACTAGTCTGTGCTGCCACTGCCGGGGTACGGATCAAACCTGTGGATCCACTAGGAAGGCTTCAGTACCAGCAAACATCCCAGCAGCACCCTTACCACCGCCCTTACCAGCAACATCAGGGATCCCACCACCACCACCACCAGGTCCTGTATTACCTCCACCACCTCCGCCGCCACTCCTGGCGAACGCATCCAACCCCGATGTGCCTATGGAACCGCCACGTCCACCACCCTTGCACGTACCCCAGATTTCTCGTGCGCCAACTCCGGATCCACCTAATAACAATGCCAAACTCCTGCCCCAGCAAGAAATACCCACCCCCAAGACGAAGATGAAAACCATCAACTGGAACAAGATACCCAATCACAAGGTCAGTCATACTATTTTTGCTCGTGCACGTGATGCACGAATGGACGGCACTTCATTCTTACTTTTTGCATTCAATCCTGACTCCTAGCTGTATTTATATAACTTCATTTTCTTTATCTCCTTTTAATCACAGGTGATCGGCAAGAGAAATATCTGGTCGCTGGTTGCCAACGAGCATCAAAATTCACCAATGGCTGATCTTGATTGGGCGGAAATGGAGGGTTTATTTTGTCAGCAAGTTCCTCCTATGTTACCTCCTGCTGCTTGCTCCTCGGCATATGGCACTGGAATGGACGCGGAGAGACGTCGTCGTGAACCCACTGAGGTTTAACTAATAGTCACTTTTTAATTAAAGCTATTTATCTACTTTATCATTATACGTATCGTTAACGATGCTTTTAATTAGTAGCTGACATTTATCTCTTGTATCGCTTATTAATTATCTTTCTATTGCATCTCATATGTTTTTATGTTCTCTCATAGATCGCGCTACTAGACGGAAAAAGGAGTTTGAATGTCAATATTTTCTTGAAACAATTTCGAAGGTATGTTTTGTCATTGAGATTCGTATTTCTTTCTTTTATTGTTTCTTGGTAGTTATTGCCACACTATATAGAGCTATCGATTCATCGTTACTGCCTTCAGCATCACAATTGGTGGGATTGTTATTATCGGCTTTTCAAGATATAGATACGTCCATTGGTATTCATGTCGTAGCTTTGTAGTCATTCAACTCGAGTATTCTATTGTTATTTCTTTGTCTTCAATATTTTGTACTTTATCATTCCGACGTTCGTACCTCAGACGAGACTGTTTTATTATTACTTGATTTATGTTATACTTTATATTGGGTAACAAGATAATTATCATATTTTAATTAGAAGTAGTTAGATTAATTATTTATCTTTTATTATAGCTCCAATGAAGATATCATTCAGCTAATCAAAGATGGTGGCCATGACGATATCGGTGCTGAAAAATTACGGGGTTTATTGAAAATATTACCTGAGGTCGACGAGCTCGAGATGCTTAAGAGTTTCGATGGCGACAAATCGAAACTTGGAAATGCTGAGAAATTTTTCTTGCAGTTAATACAAGTGCCTAAGTAAAGCAATGTTTTGATGATATTTGTTTTCTTTTAATAATTAATAACGGTGCTTTTATCTTATTAATTTTTTTATAGCTACAAATTGCGTATCGAGTGTATGTTGCTAAAGGAGGAATTCGCTGCGAATATGAGTTATTTGGAACCGAGTATAAATTCAATGATACTGGCTGGAGAGGATCTGATGACCAATAAACCACTACAGGAAGTACTGTACATGGTTTTGGTAGCTGGAAACTTTCTTAATTCGGTAAATATTATTTAATATAAATTTTCAAGATATATTGGTTAGAGATGATTGATGATTTTCATTTTTTTTTTTTTTATATTGCCAGGGTGGATATGCTGGAAATGCGGCAGGAGTCAAATTATCCTCTTTACAGAAGTTAACAGAAATACGAGCTAATAAGCCGGGGATGAATTTAATCCATTACGTCGCATTGGTGAGTTCTTGATTAATGAAAATATCATAATGAAATCTATAAAATAAACTGGATAATTTTATGCTTTTGTACAGCAAGCAGAAAGGAAAAGAAAGGATCTGTTAAATTTTGCTAGAAATATGAGCGCGCTGGAATCAGCAACAAAGTAAGATTTAAAAAATATATTTACCATTATTGTTATTTGTCTTATTTTAATGTCCAACCTAATGATGGTTCGACTATATCTTTTCAAGGACCACTGTCGAACAGCTGAACAACGAGTTCAACTCTTTGGACACTAAAATCAAGAAAATCAAAAACCAAATAAATTTACCATCCACGGAGACCGACATTCAGGAACAGATGGCTCAATTTTTGCAGGTAAGATAAAATATTGAAATTTAAAAAAATATTAAATAAATCTATCTCCTTTGTTCTACTACTTAGTACAGTGTGATACTGTTTTTTGTATTCTGTATATTTTAATAGATGGCAGAACGTGAGATGTCCGAGCTTAAACGAGACATGGAAGAACTCGAAGCCGTAAGACAGACTTTGGCAGAATTTTTCTGCGAGGACACAAACACGTTCAAGGTGGAAGAATGTTTCCGTGTTTTTCATCAATTTTGTCAGAAATTTAATCAGGCCGTAGCTGAAAATGAAAGGCGAAGAATACAAGAAGATCAAGCCATAGCAAGACGCAAGCAGCGGGAGGAACAACTGATGGCTAGAAAACGTCTTTGTAAGTTACTCTTGACTATTAATCAATGAATCGATTCTGTAATCAATTAAATTTATTTTTTTGTTATCTAAACAGTAAGCAATCAAGCCGAAACTCCAGGCTCTGAATCCGAATGTAATCTTATGGACTATGGGCTTTTTGATATTCACACTGGTTTGCCACACAAACAGTATGGACGCGGAGACGCTAAGGTACCTCTAAATTTTATAGTATCAAATCCATTAGAGGTATTGATTAATTATTTTATATTAATATTTATAGATTAAAAGACTGCAGAATGGAGGGGTTACTTCGGATGAAGATATTTCAATAACTGGTTCGCCAAGTATTCGAAGACGTTTGGGGTCTTGCTCGGGCGGAGCCGATCAGCAATCCACCAAAGAAGATACATACTCACCCGGTATATACCTAAAGATTCTAATATAATATAAATAAAATCAGTAATGCAAAATTAATCGCAGTAACCTTAATTTCTTAATTATTCGATATTAATTAGATATCACGCCAAATGGGACTCTTAGACGTCGTAGAAGTCGCGTTCCATGCGAGGACGATGATGGAAATCTTATGGACTTCTTAAGGACATCCGGACAAGATAACACTCGAGAAAGAAAATCCTGGGGCAGCTTAGGTAGGTCGTAGGAAAATATAAATTAATACAGGAAGCTGGATAATGGATATGAATAAGGAAATATTATTGATTTGTATTCCAGATCGTTCTTGGGCACGTCGTGCACGAGGACAGCCTCGACGTGGTGATCTTTTGAATGCAGATTTCTCAGGAGACAGAGAGAGGCCAAGTTCACCTTCGCCTCTTGTGGAGAGCAAGCCGTTTTTACAAGAAGAGGAAGTCAAGCCCACAGGGTACAGTCTTGTTGTATTAATGAAAAATATTTTTAGGAACAAATTTCAACAGCTGTTAATTGAACGAATAAATTTAAATCCACACCAGGAAAGCGTGGAGGCAAAAAATCGAGGCTTGGTTATCCGAAAACGAGAAAGAGGAACGTGCCGGAGAGGAATTACAAAGGCGGGCAAGGCAATTGCAGGCTAATCGAAGATCCTTCGAGGACTCCGGTATGTTATAAATAATAAGCGATTGTTATTTGTTACTGGAGCAAGTATAATTAATAATAATATCCACTCCGCAGAGAGCGAAGGCAAGAGTTCGATGATGAACGCTCTTGTGGAGGATAATTCTATACATGAAGGATATTCAGAAGTTTACGACTGGCGACCTTCGGTCGAGAAAACTGATGTTATGCGAACAATGGAGGCAATTGAAGGTATAAACAAAGGTTTCTTTTAATAATTTTACCCTGATTAACGATATTCATCGATCGTCCCTTTACAGAAGCTCAACCGCATACTTCACAAAAAGATAAGTCACCATGGCGAAAATCAAGTTTAAACGTACCAAACAGCATGGAAGAAACAGATCCACGTTATTCTCGTAGATTACGATCTAGACTCAGTACAGAAAATATCTTAGGCCCCAGTCCTCTGCAGGTAAATATAAATATTCATGAAAAAAGATATTCCTTCTAGATGTTCCATCTACTGGAGTAACGTACCTTATTGTCGTATTATTAATCTCGGTATTTTTCACGATCTACAGGCAATCAGAGAAGAAGATCGCAAGAAGAATAGGATCAACGATCCTGCGAGTTCAAGTCCTTCGGATGAACTGACAATCTACCTTCGGCAACCTTCATCCGCGTCGCAAGGAGCAGCCGTACGAAGATTCAATAAACTCGGCAAGAAGAGTCTGGAAGAGGATAGAGTCAGCGATAAGATTGAAATTGATTCAGATAACATAGAGACTCCACCGGCTACGAGAAGAGTATTTAGTCCTCCGAAGGAAGTTAAACCAGTTGAAAGAGAACCTTGTAAGAGAGAACGTTGCAGTAGTTCGATTCAAGGTCGTGAAGCTTTAAAGCCTGGTAGCACAACTACCGACCTTGGAAACGGTTAGTATTTGCTTTAGTATAATTATGAACATCAATAAATCAAATGGAGAATCAATGGTGAAGTAATGATCCCCATTAAAAACGATTGCAGGTAACTTCGACAGGTATTCAGCAGCAAGAAGAACGCGAAGGTATAAAAAGACTCAAGATCCGCCAGTAGAGAAAGAGAGTCCCAAGCAGGAGGCATCGAGTCCAGAAGTACTCGATGAGAAACCACAAAGACCAAGTACATTGGCCTTGACAGATGACGTCACAGAGGAAGACGCCATGTTGCGCGTCTGGCAGGATAAACTGAAACGTCGCGGCGCTACCAACGACATCGACGTTGCTTTAGCCGAGATAGCAAAATCAGGTGAAGATCTTCAGTACCTTTCCAGATCGTCTACGCACAGGAACTCGAGACTCCCGGTAACTCAACCAGCCCCTGTAATCGCTGTTACGAATACAGTACTCAGTCCCGTAATGCAAGAATCTAGACCACGCGAACCAGCCGCCATCTTACCGGAAAGAGCTGTGACAAGCCGAGAACGTCACAGAAGTATGATTGATCCTAGCCAGGTAAAGGAAGCATTAAGACTGACAAATAATCCACCGAGTCAAGTCAATCAAAGCTTGCTTAAAAGTTCTGCGAACGATCAAGAGCATCATCAGCATCAGTCCCAGGATCAAACCGACCTGGTGTCCAATAATCCAGAAGATTATCGTCCACTGAGTCGCCAAGAGGAAACTCAGTCCCCGAGTATTATCGACGAGAAGTCATCCTTGACTCCGATGAAGCAATCGTCCATGTTCAAGAGCCGATTTATCCCAGACATTAGCGTGACATCAGCGCCGCCCTCGGTGACCTCGCCCCTCCCTACAAAAGCCAAGGATCAGGAATTGAATGACGAAGGATTTGAGGAGACCCAGAGTCTCGTCTCTGAGACTCTAAGTCAAGGAACATCTTCAGGGAACTATGAAACAGACACTCACGACTCCACGCGCTGTTCACCGGCTGAACTCCGGTACACGGCCAATAATCAGACAGATAACATTGCTAGATCCGTCAACAAAGAACTGACCAAGCTTAAGGCATTTGCACCACGTACGGGATCCATGAGGATTCCTGGAGAAAAGACGAGTTACCTGCCAAAGCGTACAGGCAGCCTCAAACGGGAAACACCCAGGAAGAACGAATCATCTAAACGCGTGATACCCGTGTCTTCTGGGAATCCACCAAGAAACGAGGTCGAGCGTTCAAGTTCACGTAGCAGCTTAAGAAGTTCACGTAGCTCCTTGAACAGCGCCAGTTCGGTAAATACTGTGAGGAACCTAGCACCGAATCACGCCCATCTTGGAAATTATACTTCGGCTATTTGTGCGCTCACCACTGACCTTCGTAAGAGCCCTGCGACCTCACCGATTCCGCCGTTGACTAAAGAGAACGAGAAGAGACACGGGAATCCGAGAACTGGGGTTAGTAGAATTCCTGCCAGCAGAAGCAGCAGCAGTGGTAGCAGCGTCGGTCCAGCCGTAAGAAACGTACGGAAATCTACAGGGGTGAGTTTGCCTTAATAAATCGTTGAATTCTTTGTTATCTTAGCCAATATTTATTAATCCAAAAAATCTTTTTAATAATCCTCCACTGAGTCTATCTATTTGACTTGTCCCAGGCGCATCCTGACGTACCTAAAGGCAGTACCACAAGGATCCGTCCGATGGCAGCTTCTCGCAGTAGCAGCAGCGGAAGTAGCGTTGGCCATCAAGCAATGGGATCGACTAAGCAGGCTGCTGAGAAAATGGCGAATAATAAAAGTCGTCTGGTGCAACCACGCGCTGGTCCTCGCAATCACAGTTTCATGCGACCCACAGCAGCCAGCGTGAACAAAGGATCCATTTCGAATCTCCCAAAAAGCATCAAGAGCCTGGTGAAGTAAAATCAGAAAGGAAATAACAGGCGCATATCAACCGCTGATAATCCGACTGACTGACGGAAAAGTAAAGGACGTAGAAACGCTCGCACATTTACTAAAGTAAATCAATCAAACAGCTGTAACGGTCGACATTTACTAATTCGCGGTTTAACCATTTTTATTAATCTATATAATAACGTCAAACGCCATCGTATATGCTGACTGCAGTTGAACGTCCTGCCTTGTTTTCTTTTTCATATTATGAAGTTTGTCAAAAAGGAACGCGTATTTCCTTTTCTTTTTTTATTCTTTTTTAAAATGCTCCCCAACGAGCAAGTCCCCATAGTTACGTTAAATAAAATAGCCACACCGGAAACGTTACTCAAACTCGAAACTTTGATTAACGTGTATTTATCAAGACACTAAAAAAAATATACAACATGATCCTTCGTGTGTTTTGCGTGGCCATGTTTTATATATATTATATATATATATATATTTTATACGAAGTGCGTGCGTGCGTGCGTGCGTGCTTTTTCCTGCGTTAATGCACATCGTGTCCTGTACTAACGTACGCACATGTAACTCGTGATACTCTGTGCAATTACGAGAATGAAAATTGTGAATTTTTACCCTGTTGCGTAACGCTGAACAATTTAAAGTCTCAAATGTTTGTCTTTCTTATACATATATATATATATATATATATATATATATATATATATCCTGTTTTTTATTTCAAGATTTTTTATCGGCTTTACACAGAAACAGTTACCTACGTGACGTTCGAATTTATCATCGTTTATTACCTCGAACGTTAATCGTCACCTCGCTAGTGTTAGAAAAATTGTCGAGATTCACGTGAACCTCGAAATTTGTCAAATTTTACAAAAGTTTTCATGTTCGCCAAGTGAAAGTCAAATATTTACACGCTCGTCGATGCAATCGGAATATATGTGTGTAACACGTGTAAAATAATTCGATTAACATATATCAATACCTAATTTACATTATCTGTATTATTGGCATTATTAAACCTGACTTATTATATGATTTATTAAATTATCATTAAGGAAAATTAATAAAAAAATATCTCAAGGATGATTTTATTAATAAAATCTTTATATACCCTGATATACGTATATACAGAGTGTATCACCAGAAATGCACGTTTGAGATTTGCGGTGAAACGGTGCACAATTTGGAAAATCTGATGTCACAACTATTGAATGTTTTTTGATTGCGCATCGAATGGGCATATTATTATTGTTCGCTCAATTTCCGGTCGCAAATAAAAAAAATTATCTTCGCCATTTCAAATGATATTGAAACAAGTTAAATGCAAAAGTTGTAGAGCAAGAAAAAATAATAAAGATGAAAAAAAAATTCGGACGGATTGCACACATAATAAGAGAGATATTTGCGTCCGAATTTTTCTCATTTTTTGACAAATTTCTGATATTGGAGGAACGCCTTAGCTTCGTGCAGCAGCTTCACGTCGAACTCACGATTCCCAATTGTTTTGAGGTAAGCGTTCAGTCAGACGCAAAGCCGTACAAGGTGGCTAAAACATATTACAATGCTATCTTTCATTACAAGTTACAAGCAAAACTATTCCTGCTGTAGATTTCCGTGATCCTGGATGCAGATTTTCGAGCCTTCGTGTTCCTCGTCGTAGATTTCGGAGTCCACGTGTTCCTCGTCGTAGATTTTGGAATCCTCGCGTTCCTCGTCGTAGATTTTGGAATCTTCGTGTTCCTCGTCGTAGATTTTGGAATCCTCGCGTTCCTCGTCGTAGATTTTGGAATCTTCGTGTTCCTCGTCGTAGATTTTGGAATCCTCGCGTTCCTCGTCGTAGATTTTGGAATCTTCGTGTTCCTCGTCGTAGATTTTGGAATCCTCGCGTTCCTCGTCGTAGATTTTGGAATCTTCGTGTTCCTCGTCGTAGATTTTGGAATCCTCGCGTTCCTCGTCGTAGATTTTGGAATCTTCGTGTTCCTCGTCGTAGATTTTGGAATCCTCGCGTTCCTCGTCGTAGATTTTGGAATCTTCGTGTTCCTCGTCGTAGATTTTGGAATCCTCGCGTTCCTCGTCGTAGATTTTGGAATCTTCGTGTTCCTCGTCGTAGATTTTGGAATCCTCGCGTTCCTCGTCGTAGATTTTGGAATCTTCGTGTTCCTCGTCGTAGATTTTGGAATCCTCGCGTTCCTCGTCGTAGATTTTGGAATCTTCGTGTTCCTCGTCGTAGATTTTGGAATCCTCGCGTTCCTCGTCGTAGATTTTGGAATCTTCGTGTTCCTCGTCGTAGATTTTGGAATCCTCGCGTTCCTCGTCGTAGATTTTGGAATCTTCGTGTTCCTCGTCGTAGATTTTGGAATCCTCGTGTTCCTCGTCGTAGATTTTGGAGTCCACGTGTTCCTAATCATAGATTTTGGATTTCGTCGAAATCGTCGATACGGAAAGCTACATCCATGAACACGTAGACTCAAAAATCTGCGACGAGGAACACGTAGACTCCAAAATCTGCGACGAGGAACACGTAGACTCCAAAATCTACGACGAGGAACACGAGGATTCCAAAATCTACGACGAGGAACACGTAGACTCCAAAATCTACGACGAGGAACACGAGGA